GGTATGTGCAGTGGTGGGATGGGGTAGAAGGCAGAGGGAAAGAATTCAGTTTCTGAGGATTGGTAAAGAGCATGTCCATTCCGTAAGTAAGGTAGACACAAGATGAAGTAATGAAATATTCTGAGTTAGAGTCTGGATTTCTGATCCTTAGCACTATTGTCTTAGTACCTTGGTTTTGACTGGATTTTCTGGGTCCTGTGCTGATTGGCTGTTTGCTTCAACCCTCCTCTCCACCTCAGCTCCACCAATCCACACCTGTCCCTCTCACCCTCCTTCCCTTCAATCTTCTTTCCATATAGCTGACCCCCTCCTAAGTAACACCCCCCACAAAAAAAATCATGGCACTACCATGCCATTTGCTACCATCCCTCTGCTGGTGTGTTCTACCCATTTCCCTGTCCTGTCTGTCTGGTCTATTTAGACTGTAGGCTCTTCGGGGCAGAGATCGTTTAATACTCTCTATTTGTAAAGCACAGAGATTGATGTGCGGGGTGCTTGATCTGCAAGGATACTCTGTCCCATTTGGGATTTGCCATGAGGGTGAGAATGATGATAGCACAATGGGACCCCGTTCTGAGGTCGCCCATCGGCACTACTTTCATAAACACAATTGATAATAATTCCCAAATTATTCTATAATGGACATTTCTAAACAAATTAATAGTAAAACTAACACTAAATAGGTCAGGTACTCAATACAAATTACCTAGCACTGCTACAGCTAGTTTGTTCTTATACTTCACTACTTAATTGGTTTTAATGTCAAAACTCAACAGTTCAGTAAAATTTTAGCCAATGTTGTAATGAATTCACTAATAAATAATGAGCCTAGCAAGCAAAACCAACCACCATGCAATCAATCTTAGCTTTGAAACACGCTCAGCAAAGAAAACTGCAGTCATAGGTACGCAAAGCAAACCAGGAATCTGCGACCAGAGGAGCTCTGTGATCAAGGTGACAATAGAAGTTCCGTCACTCACGAGTTTTTAGCCATACTCTAGGTCAGAGAAGTTGAATTAGATACTGTGAGAAAACTGCACGAGTTTTACCTCCACTGCAGCCTCTCCATGACACTCCCCAGTGGAACTGCACTGACAATACATTAGGGAGATTTGCTCTTAATAAACATGCCACTATTAATATTCGTGCGGTGCTCTAAGGCCTCAGCCATTTATTGGATGAGGCACTATACAAATGTACAGTAAACCTCAGTCCCTGCCTCCCAGCACCTACAACTTCAAAACAAGGCACAATAGAAGACTGACTGAACAAACAGGCCAGGGAAAGTCAATGGGAGTTAGGCACCTAACTCATTTAGATGCTTTTGAAAATCCCACTAGGCACCTATCTGCTTCTTTCGGTGCCTAAACACCTTTGTAATTCTGGCTCTAAATGCTTGCAATTTTTACCTTAAAACAGCTCCTTTGAAATATTTTTACTCATTTGCATTTTTGTGTCACCCTGTATCAGCCAAACAAAGCCACCTAGCACAACAAACATCCATACGTAGGTAAATTTGCACATTGGCTCCTTCAACAGGTAGGGTGGCCAGGTGCCAGGTTTTCAACCAGAAAATCCAGTTGAAAAGGGGACCTCACAGTGTCTTGTCAGTACTACTGACAAGTGCGGTTACTGCAGGTGGGGGAGGCGCCGGATCATCACCCACGCCAGCCCCTACTCAGCCGGGGCTGTCTCCTACCTGCATCGGGCAGCTGCAGCTCCCAGCCCCAGCTCTGCAGGTGAGTCCCTCCTGACCCAGGCTCGGGGGGGGGTGGGGGAAAGCAGCAAGTGATGGGAGGAGGGGAAAAAAGAAGAGAATGGGGGCAGTGCCTTGGGGAAAGAGGTGGGGCAGAGGCAGGGCCTCAGGGAGAAGAGAGGGAAGGGGTGGGGCCTCAGGGGGGAAGAAGCGGGACGGGGGAGGTTCAGGCACTTCTGCTGGAATGTCCATTTTTTAAATATTACAAAGTTGGCAACCCTATCAACAGGCAAGATAGTGAAATGTTTCAGAAATTAACATAGGTAGAAAACTGCTCAAGTCTCTGTCAGTGAAACCAATGGAGAAGGGAATGTAATTTATAACGCCACACTAGAAAAGGAGCTCTTATGGAAAGTACCATCATCAATTCAGCTGAAGCTCAGGAAAGCCCGAGGGTAGACAGCACTATCTCTGCTTCTTGCATTTTTATCATCATGTTAACTAAACCTGCAGAAATGGAAATTAACAGTTTTCCAAGGATGTCTTCAAGAAAGTGCAGAATTAGATCCCAAAATGAGACTATACTGGCCATTCAGAGGAAAAAATAGTGATTGGTAGAGCTGACTGGAACATGGAACTTGTTGAAAACTCAAAAAATTGAGATCCTTTGGCTGAAAACCAAAAGCTGGAGGGGGACCATAGGCAGGTGTCATCAGAGTCACTGGCGGAGGAGACAGGGTAACAGATGAGGAGGGGGTGGAGGAAAGTCATACTGTGTCTTGTCAAGGCTGAAGGTCAGCCAAATGGTGGGCAAAGACTGGGGTGATGGGAGAGTGAATAAGAGATGGCGCTGGTAGGTGTAGGACAGTGACCCTTAGGGCCCAGTGAACCAGGGCGGGAGGCTGATGCTCCCCCAACCCCACCAAACAAAGTTATCCGTCCCCCAATTGAACAAGGAGGATCCTTCTCCTTTCCCCACCAAATGGGGACAAGAGCCTGGCCCCTCTCCCAGCTGCCCAGTCAGACCGACCCCTCCAAGCATCTCTATGTGTCCTGTCCCTCCGAGAGCCAAACATCTTTGCACTCTGGCTCTGGTGGCAACAGCCTTGTTTCCTGCCCAGCTGTTTACAAGTGAACTGAAATGCTGCAAAGGTCTGCCAGCCATGGGGCCTCCTAGTCCCACTGCACCTCCTCCCTAGATGAGGAAATAGCCCAGGAGGAAATGCCAGCCAGTGTAAAGACTCCGTTACAATCACAGAGTTTGGCCTCTGTGGGCTAAGCTGCAGTCCCTGTGCTGGGGCAGCCTTGGCAAGGAGAGGAAGTGGCACTGCAGGGACGAAGTTGGAAGAATGCCATGGCTCAAATGTGGCCCCACACAGTGAACGCAGCAGTCTGGGGAGAGTTAGATACCACCTGGCCATGGGGACAGAGCACGCATTAGGGGGCCCTTGGAAAAGAAAAAGGCAACTCTGAGAGAGAGCAGGAAGGGGTGGGGAGAAGAGCATGAGAGCAAGAGAACAATTACCAGGGAGCTTTTTCTCTGGGTCTCACTGGGAGAACATCACTCCTTGTCCCTGCCTGCAAGTCAATGGAGCAGCAGCAGCAATCCAGGCAGGGTAAGTAGGGGACTCTGTAGCCGCAGACTCGGTGGCTGTCCCACTGAGCACCTTCACATCTGTCTAAAAGGACTTGGTCAGGGATTAAAGAGGAAATGACAAGCGGGAGTGGCCCCTATCTCCAGCACGTCCTTCTCCCAGCTGCACAAGACCTTATCTGTATCCTATTCTGCAGCTGTGTTTGCTGCTGGCCTGCTCATGTTCTCTGCAGCACGGACAGCGTATTCACACACTGACGGCTGCACACAGGCTGCACCGTGTTTTACTCCTGTTCTCTAAGCTGTTCGGAAGCAGGTCAGAAATATCCCCTCATGGGTAGAAGGAGCATTAAGAGAGAGGCAGCCATGACGCAGAGCAGCGTGCGAACAGGGAGTGGGGCAAGAGACAGGCAACATTATTGCCTACATCTGGAGGCATTGGAAAATAAACAAGAACAAATGCTTCCAAGTTCAGCTCTGCTGCTGCTCCAGCTGCACAACGTTCCCTGCAGCCTCGTGCCTCCGAATCCACTTGCAGGTAGGCAGCCATCCGGAAAGCGCAGCAGCAGGGCAGGCATGGGCCTGCCTAGCACAGCAGAACGTGGGGAAATTGGGCAGCTGCCACAGAAAATTAAAAATTACCTGCCATGAACACAGCCTGAGGGGAAAGGGGCAAGGCGGGGAAGCCAGGCTGAGCACATAGTAATGCCAGGCGGCATCAGACCCGTGGTCCACGTACCCTGTCCCCAGCAGTGGCAGTAAAGTGCCAGGAATCTTGCACTAGGCAGACACAGGATGCTTTCCCTACTCGCTTTAGGGCACCTCCTAATCCCACAGAGTTAGAGATTGGTTTAAGGCAAGAAGCATGAGGTTTAATAACTCCTCCAAAACTTGTTAGCATGAACTGGCTGGGATGATTTAGTTGGGGATCGGTCCTGCTTTGAGCAGGGGGTTGGACTAGATGACCTCCTGTGGTCCCTTCCAACCCTGATAGTCTATGATTCTATGACAAATCTGGGTATTCTTGTTAGTCATATAACTGTCCAATCCCTTTTTGAAATGGTGGCTAGTTTACATATATTTTAAGCATTAAGTGTCAATATAGCAGTTATATAGCATGAATTAGCCTGTACCTTTGTTATAATCCTGTTCACATATGCTAAGTATCCCATAACACCTAATATTAGCTGAGGCAAGTTTTGGCTTCAGTAGATAGGGAAATTGTCAGTATCTCGACATACAGTTGTTTCCTTATAGCAACAGAAAGGGAGTTACTCTCACAAATCTGTTTATATTGGTACTGGCCTAGGAAGTGTCTTCATGCCTCTTAGTATCTGGAATGCATGTACCCAGAACAAAGATAAGAGGTACACTATGGTACCAGAAAAACAAGATAAAAAGCTAATTGGTTGACTCTAGTTTAAAATCACATATACGGTACCTTTTACTGGTAAACATGTAGGGTATGAAAAGATGGCTTTAGAAGTGTAACTTTGGAGAGCAAACCTTCTGCATAAGGTGAAAGTAACATCACTGCACAGGACAGCTCGTCAGACACTGAAACCATACAGAATTGTTTTCCTGTGCCATATTAATAAACCCGACTGACACTGGTTATTTGGCCTCTGGAGTAAATTTTATAATGAACCAAAATGTGGTCAAGCAACTGACTATACAATTTATCAGCAGAGCAAACTTCCATGGACTTACCTAATTCTTTTTTGAACCCAGTTATACTTTTGGTCTTCACAACATATCCTGGCAACAAGTTCCAAAACCTCCTCTATTGACACCTGAATCTGGGACAGTTCCTTAGATTTGTCACCTAAAAAGAATGGCTCAAGTGTGGGAATCTCCCTCACATCCTCTGCAGTGAAAACTAATGCAAAGAATCGTGTTAGCTTCTCTGCAATGGCCTTGTCTTCCTTCAGTGCTTCTTTAGCACCTCGATCATCCAGTGGCCCCACTGATTGTTAGGCAGGTTTCCTGCTTCTGATGTGCTGTAAAAAAAAAAAAAAATTGCTGATCATTTTTGTCTTTTGCTAGTTGCTCTTCAAATTATTTTTTGGCCTGCGTAATTATACTTTTACTCTTAACTTGCCAAAGTTTTTGCTCCTTTCTATTTTTCTCAGTAGGATTTAACTTCCTGTTTTCCAGGGATACCTTTTTGCCTCAAACACTCTGCTGTTTAGCCATGGCGGCATTTTTTTGGTCCTCTTACTGTGTGTTTGTTTTTTATTTGAGGTACACATTTAGTTTGAGCCTCTATTATGATGTTTTTAAATAGTTTCCATGCAGCTTGAAAGGATTTCACCCTTGTGACTGTTCCTTTTAATTTCTGTTTACTAGCTTCCTCAAGTTTGTGTAGTTCCCCTTTTTGAAGTTAAATACTACTGTGGTGGATTTCTTTGGAATTTCCTCCCTTGCAAGGATTAATTACATTATGGTCACTATTACCAAGCAGTTTAACCATGTTCAATATCTTCATAAATGATCTGGAGGATGGTGTGGATTGCACCCTCAGCAAGTTTGCAGATGACACTAAACTGGGAGGAGAGGTAGATACACTGGAGGGTAGGGATAGGATACAGAGGGCCCTAGACAAATTAGAGGATTGGGCAAAAAGAAATCTGCTGAGGTTCAACAAGGACAAGTGCGGAGTCCTGCACTTAGGACGGAAGAATCCCATGCACCGCTACAGACTAGGGACCAAATGGCTAGACAGCAGTTCTGCAGAAAAGGACCTAGGGGTTACAGTGGATGAGAAGCTGGATATGAGTCAACAGTGTGCCCTTGTTGCCAAGAAGGCCAATGGCATTTTGGGATGTATATGTCGGGGCATTGCCAGCAGATCAAGGGATCTGATTATTCCCCTCTATTCGACATTGGTGAGGCCTCATCTGGAGTACTGTGTCCAGTTTTGGGCCCCACACTACAAGAAGGATGTGGAAAAATTGGAAAACGTCCAGCAGAGGGCAGCAAAATTGATTAGGTGACTGGAACACATGACTTATGAGGAGAGGCTGAGGGAACTGGGATTGTTTAGTCTGTGGAAGAGAAGAATGAGGGGGGATTTGATAGCTGCTTTCAACTACCTGAAAGGGGGTTCCAAAGAGGATGGATCTAGACTGTTTTCAGTGGTAGCAGATGACAGAACAAGGAGTAATGGTCTCAAGTTGCAGTGGGGGAGGTTTAGGTTGGATATTAGGAAAACCTTTTTCACTAGGAGGGTGGTGAAACACTGGAATGTGTCACCTAGGGAGGTGGTGGAATCTCCTTCCTTAGAAGTTTTTAAGATCAGGCTTGACAAAGCCCTGGCTGGGATGATTTAGTTGGGGATTGGTCCTGCTTTGAGCAGGGGGTTGGACTAGATGACCTCCTGAGGTCCCTTCCAACCCTGATATTCTATGATTCTGTGTTTTTCTCTTAGACCAGATCCTGTGCTCCACTTAGGACTAAATCAAGAATTGCCTCTTCCCTTTTGGGTTCCAGGACTAGCTGCTCCAAGAAGCAGTCACTGACGTTGTCTAGAAATTGCATCTTTAGATCCCATCCTGAGGTGACATGTTCCCAGTTCATGGGTATAGCTGAAATCCCCCATTATTACTGGATTTTCTGTTTTTGTAGCCTTTGTAATCTCCATGAGTATTTCACAGTCACTGTCACCATCCTGGTCAAGTGGTAGGTAGTATATTCCTACTGCTCTACTTTTATTATTTAAGCATGGAATTTCTATTCATAGAGATTCTCTGATACTGTTTGATTCATTTAAAATTTTCACGATATTTGGTTACATGCTTTCTTTCACATATAATGCACCAGCACAACCTACTCTGTCATTCCTATGTATTTTGTACCCTGGTATTATTCTGTTTCATTGATTATCATTGTTCCACCAAATTTGGCTGTTTCTCTTCAGTTCCTACCTATACTTTTTCAACTTCTATCCCCTCCTCTTTACTAGGATATAGATTATTCCCTTTAAATCTTCCCCTAAAGGCTGTGTCTGTCTGAACCGTGTGCTCCTCTGCACCTGTCAGCTTTCTCCCAGCCCTTAGTTGAAAAACTCCTCTATGACCTTTTTAATTTTACATGCCAGAAATCTGGTTAAATTTTGGTAAAGGTGGAACCCATCCTTCCTGCATAGGTTCATCCTTTCCCCAAAGGTTCCCCCATTCCTAAGAAACCTGAATCCCCCTTCCCAACACCATTGTCTTGTCCACACATTAAAACCTTGCAGTTCTACCTGTCTGGCCCTGCACGTGGAACTGGAAGATTTTCAGAGAATGCTACCATGGAGGTCCTGGACTTTAATCTCTTACCTAGCAGCCTAAATTTGGCCTTCAGGACTTCTCTCCTATCTTTTCCTATATTACTGGTACCTACATGTACCACAGTCACCAGCTTCTCCCCAGCAGTGCACATATGGCTATCTATGCCTTGAGAAGTCTGCAACCTTTGTATCCAGCAGGCAATTCACCATGCAGTTCTCCCAGTCATCACAAACGTCACTATCAATATTTCCAATGATTGAATCCCCCATTACTATTACCTGGCTCTTTCTAATAACTGGGATTCCCTCCACCGAAGGGGTATTCCCATTCTCAGTACAAGAGGATACCATGACACTATCTGGAAGGATGGTCCTAACTATGGGATCGTTTCTCTCCACTCCAGCTTGATGTTCTCCTTCCCCAAGGCTTTAATCCTCCTCAACAGCACAGAGGCAATTGGACTGTGTGTGTGTGGTGGGGGGTCAGGGGGGGCGGTATTTTCATGGAGGAGTAATTTCCTGGAATGTTCCCTTGTTCTTGTGTTATGAAGCAGGACACTCCCAAATAGGAGTAGAGAAATGATTTTACCTCTGAAATGAGAATTGGTGAGAACAATACTAGACTACTCTGTCGAGTTCTGGTGACCCCTGACGCTGTTAACCCAGCACGCTCAGCCCCATATAGTGCCCCTGGCCCCTGCTGCTGTTAATCCGGCGAGCTTAGATCCATATAGTGCCCCTGGCCCCTACTGCTGTTAACCCGGTGCGCTCAGCCCCATATAGTGCCCCTGGCTCCCTGCCACTCTGTCACAGTGAGGGGAGCGCCATGCAGTGCCTCCCCTGCCCCTCCTTGTTCTGCCTCAGACTCAGCTGAGTTTTGTCCAGCCAGAATCAGCGGCTCTCACTTCAGGCCAAAGAGCTGTGGAGCAGGTGCTGTGAAACAATGGGCAGATGATGTGCCACATGAGCAAGTCAGTCCCCTCTCCCCTCCCCTAGTCAAATCAAGGGAGTCATCTCCATCCTCCCTGAGTGCTCAGGGAAAGGTGGATCCAGCTCAGGGGGAAGGGAAAGAGTGGAATGTATGTAACAGCTGCCTGTGGCTGAGCTTGGCCTGGGAAATGGCAGGGGAAGAAGCTGGAACCTGCTAAGTGGCCTGTTCACCTCTCAGTCCTGAGGGCCCATTGTATGTCAGAAAAATCTGACACCTCCTTATCCAACGGGCCTACAGCAGTGAAACTCCCTGGATCACCCCCATCCCCTTCCATAGTAACCCGCTGAGAGGCCCTGCCCCCTTCCCCTTGGCTGGGGTCCACTGCAGAGATAAGTTTGTGAGCGCAGGAAACAGAACTTTCCCAAGAGGAACAGGACCTGCCCTCTGATCCTGCAAGAGAGAAGAGACCACGGGCCTCACAGTGCTCAGAACTAACTGAAACACTCAGCTCTTAGCTTGGCTTTGCCTCAGGGAGGCCTCTACACACGCCCCCTCAGACACACACGTCCACAGCTGCACACGCACACACACACAACAACAAACCCCACTCCCACCCACAGGCTCAAAACACCTGTGCACTCGCACACACCCCTAGGTCCACCACACAACCCTTCATTCACACACACAAAGATCAACAAGTTTCAGAGGAACAGCCGTGTTAGTCTGTATTCGCAAAAAGAAAAGGAGTACTTGTGGCACCTTAGAGACTAACCAATTTATTTGAGCATGAGCTTTCGTGAGCTACAGCTCACTTCATCACACAAATATAACCACAACCTCCCTGCCACAAACAATCGAGCTCCGAGGAGCTAGGTCGGAAGAGAGAGTGAGAATGTGAGAGACATTTTATTGTTATTTCTGGTTTGGAATACATGGGAGGTGCTAAGATACCTCACCAATGGCAGCTGCAGCTAAGGTTTTGTTGACAGCTCTATTTTGCATCTTCTCTGAAATCCACATACATATTAGATTGGTTTGAAATTTGATAGGCCAGGTCATGGACCAGGGTCGACTTTTTTGGGGGTGGGGAGAAGGGGATTTCAAGGCCATCTAGACAAGGGGTGCCCAAGATATAGCATCCCAAAAGTGAGTTGCTGTCAAAGACTTTAAAGACGTCACTTACTTTTAGATAGGGAAAAAACAGAGGGCAGGCAGTATTTTTCTGGAGATGTATATTCCTGGAATGCCTTTTCCCTGAGAGGTAGCGCAAGGTACCAAACCAAGGTCTAACAGCTGAAATAGTAAAAAGTTAGTAGACCATATTTTTGAAATATGGAGTGAGGCAGCTCAGGTAGGGAGACCAGGTGTCCCAATTTTAAAGGGACAGTCCCGATATTTAGGGCTTTGTCTTATATAGGTGCCTATTACTCCCCACCCCCGTCCTGATTATTCACACTTGCTGTCTGGTCACCCTAAGCTCAGGGTTCGGTAACTATTAAGAGATGACTGGCGCTCTGAGCCAGAGAATGCTCCCCAGCAAAATCCCCTTCAGACTGGATGAAGGTGCACTGGGCTGTGAGCCAAGAACTCTGGACTAACATCTGTCACTCACAGGTGCCAACTTTGTCATTTCCCCTGGGGTGCTCAACCCCTACTTCCCCCCAACTTCACCCCTTCCCCCAAAGCCCCACCCCTGCCTTGCCCTTTCCTGCCTCTGCTCTGCCCCCTTCCCCCAGTGCCTCCTGAATGTTGCTGAACAACTGATCATGGCGCAAGGGAGGCACTGGGAGGGAGGG